AGGCCCACCACGAGCCGGCCGAGCGGGCCCGGGAGGTACAGCCGGGCGACAGCCGAGCCGGGGGTGGGGGGCGGTGCGGGGGCCAAGCTCCTTGCTCCTCTCTGGTTAGTGTTTCTGCCTAGAGGACCAGGGGGTGAGCGCTGAGCCAGGCGGGGAGAGAGGAGTGTGTGGCGGAGTCTGTCTTCATTGGAATGAGGGGGTGGTGGCCGGGGTGCCTCTGTCTGCAGAGCCCCCACGAGATGGGGCGGCCCCTGCCCGGTTCACCGGCTCCCGGCCGTCAGGGCTTGTTCCCGAGTGGGGCGCTCGGGCCGCCTGAGCCTCTGGGAGCGGGTGCGGCAAAGCAGGGCCTTGGGGGCCGCCAGGAACAGGTGCTGGTTGGTGCCCGCAGTGTGCAGAACCCCGGCCTGGAGGTGGAACAGCAGATTCTTGGAACCGGGGTTCTGCTGGGTCCGGAATGCCTTTGTTTGTGGTGGAATGAAAGGCGTTTTAGTTCCTGACGATACTCTTTGAGGAAGCTGTCTGGTTGGTTGTGGCAGGTTAATTTTTGTTCTCTGGTGTATCGTCACGTGCAATCCTAGAACTCTTGCCATGGGGAGGTTGTCAAGGCTGCCTCCTAATTTTTATCTCCATAAGTATTTTTTATTCTGAATCAAATCCTAGCCCAGTGTTATTCTTGTAATTGAAGAAAACAGAAGATTTCTCTTTAGGGTCCCTGTGCTTTCAGGCTTTCTTTGGTGTCTCTGCTTTTCCCCTACTAACCCTGAGTTGTTATGTCTTCTAATTCTCTGATGCAGGTGGAAGATAGATTTAGGAAAACTAACCACAGCTCCCCTGAAGCCCAGTCTAAGCAGACAGGCAGAGTATTGGAGCCACCAGTGCCTTCCAGATCAGAGTCTTTTTCCAATGGCAACTCCGAGTGTGTGCACCCTGCCCTGCAGAGACCAGCCGAGCCACAGGTAGCGACGGCCAGTTGGCTGTGGGTTGAGGAGGCTCACGGGACAGTGCACGGAGCCGCCAGCCTGCCTGAAATACTCAGTTTGGTTTGTTAGCACATTTGGAAAGAGGAGCAATTAGCAGGAGTGAGCTGAAGGCCGAAGAGGGCGTGGCCTCGGCTGAAAGGGGAGAATGGGGTTCTCTTTCTCAAGATGGTTGTTGTGCTTATTAAGAATATGTGCAGTCAGTGATTTCTTCCCTTAGTCTTAACGTTTCGCCTTCTCTAACTCAGACGTTCGTAAACCAGTGCCTCCTTATTCGAACGCAGCCTTTTCGGTTGAGACTTTTTAAGAAAGTTAGTGCCATAAGTACGTAGGGGGAGACCCTGGACCTTTTTTTAACTGAGATCCTTGGCTGCTGGCCAGTTCCACGAGTGGGCGGCTCTGAAATTCCATGTAGAAAATTTTGATTTGTCCAAATGTATGTATTTTCCTGGGAAAAGGGCCTTTTATCAGATTCTCAAAAGATTCAATATCAAAAAAAAGGTTACGATCCAGTGGGTCGGGGTGGATTTCCCTGAAGGGGGTCAGGGCGAAGGTGTTGGGTCGGTCCCAGGTTCTGCCTTGTCTGGGGGGGGGAGGAGAGAGCAGATGGCAGAGGTGACCGATGTCAGAGGTCTTAGGGGTCCTTAAAACACTGGTTCCCACTCCTGCTGAAAATAGTGGACTCTCAGGGCGTTTTGCCCCGTGCAGCTGTGTAGTCTAGAATATTGGGAACAGTTCTTGAGCCCGAGTTTACCTGTCGCTGATGTTTGCATGTGTTGGGGGACAGAAGTTCTGAAAAACAAAACCTAGATGAGGATTTGAATGTACTTTACGGTTAACATCCTTGGTATGGAATAGTTTTACAGTGAAAAAGAAGACCCAGGATTACGCCTGGCGGGGCGGGTGTGGGAGGGCGGTGTTTACGTGGAACCAGCAGCTCCTGATTCGCAGAAGAGCTGCCCACAAGCAGGCGGGGCAACTCCGGGGAATGAAGGGGGAACAGACAGGGACGCAGAGGGAAGCAGGACGTGGGAAGGGAGGGGAGAGGGGCCAGTGGAAGAGGTCTGATGAAGGTTAAACTCACCAAAGAGAGAAAATCTTACCTCTGTGGCCACTAACAGTTTAGAAAACGGGAGTTCCTGAATTATGAAGACTGCTTTTCATTACTAATGATTAATTAGCGCAGTGCCTGGAAATAGTGTCCCTGTCCCTTTTCTACCTAAAATTGCTTTTGGCTGAAACCTATGCTTACGGAAACCTACTTCAGAGAAAACTTTTTCTCGTGTAGGACTTCATTTTAAAACTCATTTTTTAAATTATAGCTACAGGTAATATTTTCAGTTACATGGCTACCCCCTGAAAATCTTCAGCATTTTAGAAGTCTGGGATTATGTGACTCTCACCTAGAAACCGCAGGCCTGGAACTAGTTCCGAATCTCACGTTCGGCAGGGTGGAGCCATCTGTGATTTGGTATTTAAGGTTTTTGTAGCAGTGGTATAATAGGTGTATAGCTAGAATTATGTAAATTGTGATACTGAACAATTATTTTAAAAGAAAAAGTATAATTTAAAGAAATTGCGGGTTATTCCAGAGATTGCTTTTTCAATTTAAAAGCAACCAGAGAAACTCCATTGACAAGTAATTGTCTTATTTCTTCAGTTGTCAAGTAGATGGACTCCCCCATCCATCAGAGTGCTGTGTATTTCTTAAGACATAAAGTTCTTTTTTTCCTAACTAGTATGAAGACATAATGGAGTTATCAAGGGTTTGAGTGTCTTAGGACTTGGGAGAAGAAAGAAGGAAAATTGTTGCTGTATTTGGAAAGTTGGCGGCTTTTAAGTTACACTGTTACAGTCCGTCGGAATGCAGGGGGAGTTTATCTTTGCATAGTGAATGTGTGGCTCTGTTGTCCCTGGGTCTGAAAGCTTGCCCTGCCCGCTAACGTGCGGATGGTAGAGAGGTCTGCACGCCTGGCCGTGTCCGTCCTGTGGTCTCCTTCCTCTGTCCATCCAGTCCGCTTTGACATGGAAGTGCACGTAGCAGGTTGATCCCTCAGGGGGCTGTAGGAGGCTTTTTCTTTCTTTTCTTTTCTCTTTTTTTTTTTTGATCTTTATGTTTACTGCTACCTATATGTAACATCTGTCTGGATATTGAGAGTTTTCCTTATAAACGTGCATTTGTTCTTTTCCGCATAGTGGGCTCCCCAGACCTCTCCGCTTAGAGCGTAACTGTTTCCCTGCTTGGCCGACCTAATTCTGAGCCGCCCCTGTGCTCTGCCCCGGCTCCTGCTTGGATTTGGTATTGACCAGAAAAGCGTTTTCTGCAGAACGCATTGAATGTTGTGTGTTTTGTTTTCTTGTAAGGTACAGTGGTCCCACCTGGCGTCTCTCAAGAACAATGTTTCCCCTGTCTCGCGATCCCATTCCTTCAGTGACCCTTCTCCTCCCAAATTTGCACACCACCATCTTCGCTCTCAGGACCCATGTCCACCTTCCCGCAGTGAGGTGCTCAGTCAGAGTTCTGACTCTAAGTCGGAGGTACCTGAGCCCACCCAAAAGGCTTGGTCTAGATCAGACAGTGACGAGGTGCCTCCAAGGGTAAGAAGCAGAAAGACAGACGTGTGCTTCTTTTTCCTTTTTGTTATTTTTTTTTAAGTATTTGTTTCCGTTAAGGGTGTGGTGACATCACCAGAATTAAGGGGCAATGAAATTGCAAAGGAACTTTTTATGCTGGGGAGAAAATTCCGTAATGAGGCAGCTTTATCCCGCTGGGCCAATGAGCATTTCACGGTTGTTGCTAACTGTATTTCAGCACAAGGGAACGAGATAATTTAAGAACACCCCTATAAAGAATGTGCTGCTAGAGCAAATAGAATCAAAGTACATTTCAGCAGCTGTCTCGTGTAAATTTATACAGAAGCTACGAAAGTAGACTTCATCCCATTATCGATGTCAGAATTTTCAGAAGAGGTCTTAAAAGGGAAAAAATTAACATACGTTTCAAAGAATGATTTTTTTTCTAATTGAGGATTTTTGTTTTTATTTGGATGGGTTTTTTTTAATTTTGTTTTTGTTTTTATTTTTGGTTTTGTAATTACTTAATGCTGAAATTGGACAAAAAGGCACATTTTAATTTAATTTTTCTCCACTTGGAATTTGCTTCCTCTGAATATTTTCTTGCTTCCTGCAGTCTTTGTTTCCTGCTGATCCATTTGCAGCCCATTATTTGGTTTCTCTGAGCTTACTTTCCCAATTCTCACATTATCTCGGCAAAATACTCTGTTATGTCCCCTGCCGCAGCTTCAGTGCCAGCACCACTTAAGTGTCACAGAAGCACAGAAAGGTGGTCCCGGCTCCTTTACGCCTTTGACTGCATTTCCTGTCTCTGTTGAATCAGCGCAGGGCAGAGAAGGGTGGGGTGGGGTAGGCCGGCGACTGTCAGGCCAGGGTGATGAAGACTGCCTCAGGGAGATGTTTTGGTAGGAAATCTGTTGTCTTCTCCCCCTCGTGTTTTCGGTAATTTAACCACTGTGTTTTGTACCCAAAGGTCCCTGTGAGAACAACGTCTCGGTCCCCTGTCCTGTCCCGTCGGGACTCGCCGCTGCAGGGCAGTGGGCAGCAGAACAGCCAGGCAGGTCAAAGGAACTCCACCAGGTGAGAGAGGAGGGGCGCTTGGGGACAGTCTCCTGCAGTCCGTGTCCCCTGCTCTCATAGAGATGCTCACAGACCTGGGAGTTCTGGGGCGGAGAGAGGAGTAGCTTGTCAGAGAAAAGGCCGTGCAGTCCACTCTCATGAATAACATCGAGCTGACCTGCAGTGAGACGAGGGGCTCAGCTCGGTCGTTGTGGCCGGTCTAAAGGGAAGGCCACCTGTCTCTGTGAGTCGAAGGAGCAGCGGGGAAGGGAGGTCCTGGAGAGCTGTAGCCCCAGAGAGCTTGTTCTCTAGAGGGCGGTCCCGGGCCTTGGGAGTGGCACAGAAACCAAGCACAGGCCATGCAGAAGGCAGGGGTTGACTTACAGTCCGCAGTAAACTTGTGACTTAACCACATAATGGTGGTATTTTCAGGTGCCAGAGCTGTTCTGTTGTATACAATGGCTATGAGCCACACGAGACTACTTAAATTTGAATTTAACTTAATTGAAATTGAGTAAAGATAAACTGAATTTCCTTAGCTGCACTAGCCCCATTGCGGGTGCTTGGTAAGCACGTGCAGCTGGTGGCAGCCCTGTTGCCCGGCTCAGTGTGGAACGTTCCCATCACCTCAGTGAGTTCCAGGGCCCAGTGCCTCAGAGGAGGACGAGGCCGTGTGGCGTGTTCCTGCCTTGATGAGCGCGGAACCTCCGAAGGCAGCCTTGTGTCCGTGGTGCTGCGTGTACCATTCACAGTGAGGTGGATGACAGCCCAGACGCTGCAGGGGTGGACAGCGGGCTACTCCCGTGCCTGCGTCTGCGCCTTCATTCTTACCTATGAAACCCGTGTGGTGGTGTGTCCGAGTCGGGGCCGCACCGTGGCCCGTGTTCTCTGTCGCGTCTCCAGCCCAGCTCGTGGACAAGGGAGGGGACTGCATCAGTGTCAGTTGTTGAGAGCAGTGATGGATAGGTGCCGTGAACGGTGTGATTTTGTGTGTAATTATATAGGTGGGATTTTTTATAATAAACTGAGTTTGTAGCTATGAGAGAAATAATGGCACTTCTAGACCGAACAGTAGCGTTTCTTCTCGTAGCTGATGAAGGTCAGCTAGTGGTGGAGTATCTTTCAGCATTGCTGGTTCGTTAAGATACCTGAGATTGAGTGAATAACGTTGCTGTAACTTGTGGTGCATTTAACGATCAGTGCTGTTTGCAGGTGGATTTTGTCATTTTTTCCTACATTTCAAAGCCCCCAGCGCACACCGTGCGTGCTTGTGACTTGGCGCTGCATCTTGGGATAACGCATCGGCTGTTCTCTCCTCTTGTCCAACAGCAGCATCGAGCCCCGGCTGCTGTGGGAGAGAGTGGAGAAGCTGGTGCCCAGGCCCGGCAGCGGCAGCTCCTCGGGGTCCAGCAACTCAGGATCCCAGCCCGGCTCCCACCCCGGGTCCCAGAGCGGCTCCGGGGAGCGCTTCAGAGTGAGATGTAGGAGGCCTTTCCTTCTGCCTTCCCCGTGCACCGTGTCGGGCTGTGGTCAGCACAGTTGACCCTGGAACAACGTGGGGGTCAGGGCCGTGTGTAACAGCGTCCCAGTGAGGTTCTGATGACACTGACAGTCATCATAACTTTAATAATAAAGAGTTAAGGTTAGAGAGCTTGACATGCAGAGCACTTTATGTGCAAGTGTGTGTGTGTGTGTGTATGGTGTCTCCATTCTGTAGATTCACGTAACTGCAGGTCATTGAGATTAGGTAGCTTGCCCAAGGTGATCAGCTAAATGTCCAGGCTGAGACTTGCACCCACTCTTTTCAGTATAAACTCCACCAGTGTTGTCATCAACATTGGTTATTTTAACCTATCATAATAATAGATTAGTGAAAATTCTTTCTGCTGTGTCACTGATGTAGCATTACAAGGCATTGTGGGCACGAATTAGTGAAGGGTGACGCTGGAGGATTCTTAGGAAGGCGTCAGAAATCCTGGGGTTCAGACTTGCATGTGGGGACCTTGCCCTGAGTGGGGCTGACTAGTGGGCGGTGGGGGGCAGGGCCGGGTGCGCGGGGCTGCCTCGTAGCACACACTCAGATGTTGACGTGTTTGCCTCTTGTCTCTGAACTTCACAGCATCATCCAAATCTGAGGGCTCTCCATCTCAGCGCCTTGAAAATGCAGCAAAAAAGCCTGAAGACAAAAAAGAAGTTTTCAGGCCTCTCAAGCCTGCTGTAAGAATTGCACAAAATCAGTTTTACTTCTTTCAAACTTGTAAGAACTTTCTTTTAAAGCTGTTAGTAACGGGGCCTTGCAGATTTGAGGGGTTACAAGGTAGGCCGTTGTCTCTCACACACGCACACCCACAGCCCCTCTATTTGTGTAAAAAGTCCAAAAGAAAGACAATCTTTTCTGTCTCTTTGCTTATTAGCATCAGTCTTTATGTGTTCTTGATGAGTTGGGCATTTAAAATACTGGCTTTTAGGATAAGTTTTTTAACATCATCTTCTTAAGCTCCCCTGTGATTTACATCTGCCCTGGGGCACGTGGAGCGGCCGAGGTGACCGGTTCCCTTGCTTCTTGGCCCTCGTTGCCGTGGCCGACCCGTCTGTGCACGCTGTGGGTTAAGCCTGCTGGAGTTTGATTTCTCGCTGAACTGATTTCTGTGCCCCCCTCCCTCTCTCTGCCGTGCTTCCTGTGCTGTGTCTCCGTCGATGGCGGCTCTCTGGCCCAATGGACCCGCTGTGACTGCAGGGCGAAGTGGTAAGCCCATCTCTGAACTCTGCTTCCACTGCCACTTTATAAACGTGGCACCTGCCCCACTTCATTCCTCCTGCTTCCTCAGCTGCCGCTTTGTTCTTTTCTAGAAGTAAAACACCCTAGACTTTCGCTTCATCTTTTTTAACGCTCAGAATTTGCTGCATGCGTTTTTTATTATGAAATGTAGCCTTTTAAAACCACTTTTTAAAAAGCTACTGCTGTACTCGTGAGGCTGTTGGCAGGCCTCCAGGCCTGTCCTCCATCACCATTACCTCGGAGGCTCAGGCACAGAGAAAAGCTTGTTCTCAACTCTTTACTTTGAAAATTTTTGAGTGGAAAGATAGACACTTTGGTTGCTGTATGAAAATGTAGAATGTAGATAGCAGTCACGCTTGGAAGTTATAGTTGAATAATTGAGTCTTAAAAGATCTCAGTACAGAAGAACAGGGAAGATGATGGGTTTCACTCTGGGGCTCCTCCGGCCGACGTGCGTGTTCACGGGGGAGCCGCCTGCCCGCAGCCGCACGCGCTGACCTTCCTCGGTCCCCACACCAAGGGCCTGGCTCACGAGGGTGGCGGGGTATGGACGGTCAGTGAAGCTGCTGAGAGCCGAATACAGCGTGACTTCACTCTTAACGTTGTAAAGGAATTTAAATTAAGTTTACTTGGAGATTCTTAAAAATAAAAGTTGCAGTTAAAAATAAAAACAAATACTTTAAATCACCCCTGTTGAACTAGAATCTTGATTTCTGGAAAGCCTCCTTTAAAAAAAACTTTGTCACAGGGGCCGGTGTCTATAACAAACTACAAGCCTCTGCACACATTCGTTGATCTCGAACCTCACCTTATAATTGGAAAAAAAAAATGCTATCAGCTCATAAGTGGATGTTTTTCTTTTTTTTTTTTTTATCGGCTGTAAGTTTGAACTACGTGCACCATCTTTAACTTTTTAAAATGTTTTCTAGTTTCTGTTCATCTTGTGACTTTTAGGGGTCTTTTTCTGTCCAAAGCTTGAAGAGCTCCCTTTCACACGACCCCAGTAAACACTGTGCAGGATGGTCTCCCAAACCCAGCGCAGCCGCCCCATCCGCAGTTGAGCGGGAGCACCTCTTAACCCGTGCCGTCTGCTCTCCTGCCTCCCTCACCTGGCTCTGTCTGTCCCCCTCGCTAGGATCTGACAGCACTGGCCAAAGAGCTGCGGGCAGTGGAAGACGTGCGGCCACCACACAAGGTGACAGACTACTCCTCCTCCAGCGAGGAGTCGGGGACGACGGATGAGGAGGACGACGACGTGGAGCAGGAGGGCGTGGAGGAGCCGGGCTCCGGACCGGAGGACCCCCGAGCAGCGTCAGTCCCGCTGTGTTTGCGAGGATGCGTGTCCCCCTCAGCCCTCTTTCCACGTGGAAGCGGGGTTTTCCAAGCCTCTCCCAGGACCTGTGAACACCTAATGTTCCATGGAGCCAGGAGATGGCCTTATGTCCCCTGCTCTGCCCTGGTGTGCGTGTCTGTGCCTCTGTCCACCACCCACTGTGTGTCTTTTCATTTCTTCGTGATAAAAGGGAAATTGCAACTCAGTTACCTCGAGGAAGGTTTATATCTGCAGCCTGATCTCGTCTTAGGACTCTGAGAAGGTGAACAATCTAAACGGTGTATCCTCAACTCGGTTATGGCCTTCACTTCCGGACTTTGTCTCGATAGGTCATCTCTGAATTTGAGCAACGGGGAAACGGAGTCCGTGAAAACCATGATTGTCCACGACGACGTGGAAAGCGAACCAGCCATGACCCCGTCCAAGGAGGGCACCCTGATCGTCCGCCAGGTACCCGAGTGTCCTCGCTGTCAGAGGCTGAGCTTCTCCTGTAGTCATTAACCCACTGCTCATTCACTCACTCACGCTGTTCCTACATCGTCATCTGTTGTCATGTTAACCAGACCCGAGGGCAGCGTGTCCGGGGCGAGGGAGGCAGGTGTGCTGCATGTCCCGGAGGCAGCCGGCAGTGTGCCCATCCTGCTCCTCTGCATGGCCCGCACGGCGCTGAGCCTGCAGCTGTGTCCTAGTGCAGGGAAGCACGGAGGGAGAGCCCGGCCTGGGCGGGGCAGCCAGCGGCTCCGCACGCAGCTCCCGGCTCTGAGAGTCAGGCAGGGGCCTCCTGGAGCCAAAGGGTGGGGAGGTCCCTCTTCTGTGCTCAAATGTCAGTCTCCCCCTTGTTGAATATTATATGTGTCCCACCCAGATGTGCTCAGTTTGAGTTACCAAGTTTTAAACTGTCTGTTCATTTCTTAGCTTAGATGGAAGAAAAGTGATTCGCTTCTCATTCATGTAGAACAGGGCACCTGTCTAGTCCTTTGGACTTTACCCTGAGTGTCTTTCATGCTGTGGCCTTGCCTTCTGATAGAGAGCGGGAAGGACCTGGTCTGGAAAAGACCAGGATTCAAAGAAGAGACAGGGTACTTTCTAGAGCTTTAGACAGAAAGATTTAAGAAGAAAAGCGGGGGGGAAAGCCCACCAGCGTTTTGATAGGAGCCGCTAGTGTGGCACACGATCCAGACCCGACAGCCAGTGCCTTGAGCGCGACGGCTGCCAGGGGAGGTACTCAGTGCTGCTGGCTGAGCTTAGGCACCTGGCGGGGAGGCGGCAGTCACTCTGGCCGATTTCCTCCAGGCTTTTCCTTGGTGACGTAACAGAGTTGAGGAGTCACACAGCACCGTGAAGGGTCAGGTGTCAGCAGGGCGGTAGGCAGGGTCGGCAGTGCCTGAGCGAGCCCAGTGTGCCTGTTTTCTCTGCAGAGTACAGTTGACCAAAAGCGCGCCAGCCATCATGAGAGCAATGGCTTTGCCGGTCGCATTCACCTCTTGCCAGATCTCTTACAGCAAAGCCATTCCTCCTCCACTTCCTCCACCTCCTCCTCCCCATCCTCCAGCCAGCCGACACCCACCATGTCCCCACAGACACCCCAGGACAAGCTCACTACTAATGAGGTATGTCTCGCACCACAGCTGGCTGCTCTCCCAGGGTAGGACCAGCACGGCCTGGTAGCTAGTTTGCAGAGACCTCCCCACGCCCTCACCTCCCCCACCCGCCCGCCTTCTTCTGTCACCCCCCTCCCCCACCCCCAAGTAACATGTTTCAGATCTGCATACAGGACCCTAACCCTGGATCAGCTTCCCTCCAAACTTGCCAGTTCACTGTTTACTTTTCTCTAGATAAGTGTAGTTGCATGGCTTTCCTTACTCAGTTTATTTTTCAAAAAGTCTAAATGAAACGGTTGCTGTGTTCTCAGATCCAGTATGTATTTGGCATGAAGTTCTGGTGGTCATCTGCAGAATCTGCCCTTTTACATTCTGTTTATCCAATATATAAAACAGAGAAAAATGTGCTTAAGCAGACGTGGCCTTATCTGGACAGACAGGCACCTCCTTCAGAAAGGACTGTGTGGGGGTTTTGGTTTTTGCTGGGGGTGGGGGGCTTCCTGGTTGGTTACTCTTACTTGTTTTTGCCAACCTTGTTAAAAGGATGTCTCTCCTTGAAATAGATAATCACTCAGTTTAAGAGGCCAATTGCTTTTTGGGGAAACCTAGGAAATTAGGTTGTTAAACAAGAAGGACAAAGGTCTGGGCATGCTTTTAATTCCAGATTTTGCGTGGGAAATCCGTGTATATGTTTGAAGGCTTGGCTCTGGTCTCAGTCTGGGTGCTGGTTGGGGGGACGGGTTTTGCCCCAAGTGCAGTGACAGTCCACTGTGAGCACCCTGTCCTTAATTAAACAAGTGATCTGATTTCCTGGGAGATTTGGTTTAAATGCATTTGTCTAACGGTTGGAGGGGGTCGGCTACCAGGGGCATGCCTCTTCCGCCCGTCAGCGTAGACGCTGAGCTGCTGCCTGCCCACCAGCTCCTGTTCTGGCTCCCTCGTTAGAAAGAATCAGAATAATCCTCTTCCTGCGAGGAGCAGGCGCGAATCACCTGCGTCCAGGGCAGGCTCAGGCATCAGGTTGGCCTCTGTTGGCTGGAGGGGCCTCAGGCTGCGGGCCCGGGTAGGAAGCCCGCTCCCGGGTGGACTAGGAGGAGGGAGCTCGGAGGGGTGGGGGGAGGCTGCCCCGGAGGGTGACACGGTCCAGGACAGAAGCACCTGGTCAGGTGTGTGCTTTCTCCTCCAGTGACAGGTCCCACCCACACTCACCTTCCTCATGTTTACACTTGGCTCCGTTTTGCTCTGATGTACAGTATTTACAATAACCTCTAACTCACTAAACTGGCAAGTTTATTTTCCTGTTTGTTTTGTTTTTAATTGTCATTACATTTCCACTTAACAATTTGTTTCACTTTCTTTGTGGGGGTTTTTTTTGGGGGGGTGGGTCTTAAGTTACATTATTAACCAAAATACTCCTGTTCCTAGAAGAGCAAAAGGATTAGCCTTACTTTGTATCTGCACTTGTCACCACTGAGCCCGTTTGCTATGGATTTAATGGTGACGCACCCGAAGCGACAGTGGCCAAAGCTTCTGTAGCTTTCTGTCAGGGGGCTCACTTTAAAATTAAACTATATAAAATTCAGATTTGCCAGTATTCCAACATAGATTAATTGGACTTTTAGAGGGCAGGAGAGTAAACTCAGAAATTGGTGAATTGAGGTCAAGACATTTCAAACCTCCTTTAGCAGTTTTCATTATAAATATTTACTAAACAGCTGAGGAGCGTGGAGTAGAGATTTGGGTGGTGGCATGCGCATTCCGTCTGAGAGCAGCAGTATTTCTGAAAGGAGGGGTGGCGCTCTCTGTGGTCCCGGTTAAATGGCCTGTGTTGGGGGTGTGACGTGCACACGCAGAGGCACCTGCAGAGCGTTGCGGGGGGTTGCGGGGTGGGGCTCTGTACCGGGAAGCAGAGCGGTGCAGAAGTGGGTGGTTTTGTGTTCGTCCTTTTGCTGTCATTGTATTAATACAACTGAAATTTACATTGCAGACTCAGTCCGCTAGTAGCACACTCCAGAAACACAAATCTTCCTCCTCCTTTACACCTTTTATAGACCCCAGATTACTACAGATTTCTCCATCGAGTGGGACTACAGTGACCTCTGTGGGTAAGTATGGTTGCCACACGCAGCTGGGGCACTGCGCACCACTTGCCAGTGGCTTAGGCGCACACGGTGGTGGTCCGCGGGTGCAGACTCAGGACCAGACTCCCATCCCGCTTACATTGCCTCCTCTGCAGTGACCTGCACAGTCGATTTCCTTTTTCCATGTGCATTTCTTACAAATCTCTTTTCCTTGGCAGTTGGTTATGATGTGAATATTTACTTAGGCGTGGTAGGGGAGGGAGCTGCCCGCTGCCCGCGTGGACAGAGCGTCATTCCAGGTGTGGTGTGTTTCAGTGGGATTTTCCTGTGATGGAATGAGACCAGAGGCCATAAGGCAAGATCCTACCCGGAAGGGCTCAGTGGTCAATGTGAACCCCACCAACACTAGGCCACAGAGCGACACCCCGGAGATCCGCAAGTACAAGAAGAGATTTAACTCCGAGATTCTCTGTGCTGCCCTGTGGGGTAGGTACCTTCCTGCTGCCCTGACCCTTCTGTTGTTGTTCTAAAGGGTGGACTGGCCTCTAGAGATGTACCGTTCTGGACAGTCGGGGGGTGGGGAAGCGTTGCTGCGGGTGCGCTGGAAGGCCCCCTGCCCCGCCCCCCGTGGCGTCAGGCAGGCACGCACCCGGCCCGCCCTTGCTTCAGCCGTTAGGCATTGGAGAGAATGCCTCGTCGCCACCCCTGCATGCGCAGAGGAAGTGCGAAAGGAGGAGGAAGGCCTTTGATTTGGTCCACGTTCACAGGGAGAATGAGGAGATTTGTGGAATTGCTTTCCTTCACAGAATTACGCAGTTTTTAGAAATATATAATGAGAATTAGAGGGTAAGACGTGAGCGAGATGTAAGCCAAAACACTGGCAATTTCTGTGTGTATGAAGAGGGTTCTCCAGCTCCTCTGAATCTTTACTCATTCTTCCTGGAAAATCTTGATTGACGTTTGAATGCTGTTTATTTTTGGAAACCACAGACAGATTCTGCGGGGCTCATATTTCGGGTAGTTATTACATGGTGGATAGTTGATACAGGCTTTCCAGCTTCTCAGTGTTGAAGAGTGACCCGAAAAATACCGACGTGCTACACAAACTGCTGCTTCGGGCGGGCCCTTCAGCTGCACCTCTGTCAGTGTTCTGTGCTCTCTGTTCTAAGCTATTTAGAAGGACCTGACCTACGTATGTTGGGGGGAAACACTAAAATAATGTCCAAATAAATCCTACGTTGATAGGGAGTTAGTTACAGGCCAACTTCAAAAGTAAAATTGTATGAAAATGAATGGAGCATTGCTTAAGCATTTTTTTTGATAACAGCCGATTTTTAAGTTGGACAGCTTTTTTCATAGAATGAAGTTGTTACCTGATGTGCATGTTGCTGTTAAAAAGAGCTGCTTTTTTTTGTGAATATATATTGGCTTGCTGGAAGACCTAAAGCGGAAGGTCCCACGAGCACTGATTCAAAGGCGCTGCACGACCTGGTCAGCAAAACGTCAGTGTCGTCCGTAGCCGCACTGGCTGTCAAGGTTGCCGCTGGCCTCACGGGGCTGTTCACATTTCAGTGAACTGAAGTAGAAATTTCAGATGCCCAGCTGCACTGGCGATGTTTTACATGCTCAGTAGCCACCTGTGGCCCTTGCCTAACAGTGGACATCGCAGTGAAATGTTCTTCGGGCAGGCTCGTCTAGGTGGTGCATTCTAAGATCTCAGCTACAAGCAATGGAAGAAGCCACATGGTTTATTAACAGTTTTCCTCAGGCTGTCCGTGTTTTGGGAGTTACGTATACTTTTATGTTAAAGCTCACTACAGATGGGTAATAAATACTCAGGTTTTTACCTTTTCCCCCATATTCCAGAGGCTTCCATCATATTTTCTGAAGCTGTACAGAATGACATAGTATGTTCACATCTAAAACTGTCTTGTTAGAGTAACTCTGGGTGGATAGCCCCTGTGCTTTGGTGAAAGAGCAGGTGGGGCAGGTTCACAAGGATGTCTCATTTCGATAGGTCATGATACCCTTTCCACGTAACCAGCCTGTTTGCCAAGCACAGCATCAAATTGTGGCTTTTCTGTGTCCTTGAAATAGGAGTGAATTTGTTGGTGGGTACAGAGAGTGGCCTGATGCTGCTGGACAGAAGTGGCCAAGGGAAGGTGTATCCTCTGATCAACAGAAGACGATTTCAACAGATGGACGTCCTGGAAGGCTTGAATGTCTTGGTGACAATATCTGGTGAGTGTGTTTGGGAAAGCAGGCTTGTGGCACTGCTTAAAAACAGAGTCCTTCCCCACACGGAACTTGAGTGAGTTCAGTTTGTGAAGTAACAGCTAAATGAGACCGAGCTGTGGCGTGATTTTACAGTAACGGGACGGGCCGCATCTCCACACTTGACCGGAGCTCCGCTGAGCTAGCTCGGAAGCCCGCACTTCCCACTCCCCGTTGCCCCTGCCCCCCACTTCCCGCCCTCAGCGGCCTGTGGGGTTCAACGTCTGGATGTCCGTCCACTTCCACAGGACTCTTTCATGCAAAAGAAGTATTCTTTGCCATTGATGGTAAAAGGATCATGTTAGACCTCTTTTTTTTTTTTTTGATGTCATTCAACACTTACTCTCTCTTTTCAGAAAGAACTTTTTTTTAGTATAATTTCTGTAATATATGTTCATTATAGAAAGTAAGCAACTATTGCAAAAAAGCAAATGGGAGAAATAAATAGTAAAATCGCCCCAAAAATAATACCTATTAACTTCAGCTTGTAACTTCTAATCTTTGCAGCATATGCACACTCAAAGTACACACTTAGGGGGGAAATCTGCACAAAAATGGTTATGCAATATTTCAGAGAACCTGCAGAGAATGATAATGAGATAGTAGTGGGCCCCTGTGTGCTGACAAGATTGTGAAACAGACATTAGGGTCACTGTTGTGCATACACTTGGGGTCTGCTCACCCTGGTGACACCCCGTCCTGGGGTTATGTGTGTCTCGTCCATTCTTGTTTGTCCAGCCTTGTAGGCTGTTGTCCCCATGTCACTAACATTCCTTCCTGAGACCCATTCTGCGTGGCTGCAGGATGTTTCTCTGCATAGGTATACTAAAATGTACTCATCTTATGTTGAAAGTCTTTGCATTTATTCTTTTTTTTTTCCCCCTCTCATGGAAACATTTTTCACTAGTATCTTTGTAGCTCACTTAACCATTGGGCATACGTATCCGTATTGCATAGACCATACTTTGCTAATAATCTATCTGTATTATTGCTGGGGTCAGAGAGTGTGCAGAATTGTAAGGCTTGTCTTACACTAACCAGCAGTGGTTTGATTTAATTATCTGCTAACGCAAACTTGCATATTTATTTATATGTAACAAATTTTTTGCAGTTATTTTAGTCTTCTAATAGGCTTTGGGTTTAAGTAGATGTTTGTTGAAATGCAAAAATTTCACCATCTGTCTCATACTTAAATAAGAAGACAACCATTTAAAACTTGAGTGTTGATGAAAAGTAGTTTTTTTTAATTGATCATTTAAAAATTTTTTTGACATATAGTCAGTTACAATGTGTCAGTTTCTGGTGTACAATACAATGTCCCAATTGTACACACACACATACATTTGTTTTTAGATTCTTTTTCATTGAAGGTTATTATAAGATACCGAATACAGTTCTCTGTGCTATACAGTAGAAATTTTTTAATCAATTTTTATATATAGTAGTTAGATGAAAAATGGGTTTTAAAATCAGACGAAAAATAAATTTGCAGTGGCTTTTGCAGAATAGATGTGTTTAATTTTAATGACGTCAGACTTACCAATTTTCTCTCATGGGTCGTGCTTTTGGTGTTGTCTAAAAAATCATTGCCAAATCCAAGGAGATTGTATGTAGATTTTCTCCTGTGTTAGAGGCTTTATAGCTTTGCATTTCATCTTTAGGTCTTTAATGCATTTTGAGTTGTTTTTTTTGTGAAAGTTTCAAAGTCTTCATAAATTCATTTTCTTTTGCATGTGGATCTCCAGTTCTAGCAATGTTTGTTGAAAAGGCTATCCTTTCTCCTTTGAATTACCTTTTTTTTTTTGTCAAAGACTAGTTTGTTACATTTGTGTGGGTCTGTTTCTGGATTCTCTGTTTTGTTACATTGACACATCTGTCAGTTCTTTTGCTGATATCACACTATCTTGATTACTTTATAGCAAATCTTGAAGTTGGATGGCATCAGTCCTCCAAATTTGTTCTTTTTTAATACTGTGTTGGCCCTTCTGGCTCTTTTGCCATTCCACATAAATTTGAGAATGAGTTTTTCGGTGGGCACAAAGTAACTTGCTAGGGTTTTGGTTGGGATTGCATTGAATCTGTCACGTTGGCCAGAACTGCCTTCTTCACAGCGTCAAGTCTTACCCGTGACCATTGAATGTCTACTTAGATCTCCTTTGATTTCTTTGTTCAGAGTTTTGTAGTTTTCCTCATAGAGATTTTGTATAGGCCTATTTTGTTAATAATTACACCATTTTAATTTTTTTAGTGCTGCTGTGGATGGTGCTTCATTTTTAATTTCAAATCCCCAGTTGCTTTTTGCAAGTATGTAGGAAAGCGATGGACTTTTGTATGTCAACCTGTGTCTTGCAGCCTTGCTATAATCCCTTACTAGTTCCAGGAATTTTTTTTTTTTTTTGCCAATTCTTTGTGGCATCTTCTACCTAGACAATTATGTCTTCTCCAAACAAAGATAGTTTTATTTCTTCCTTTGCAATCTGCATACCTTTTATTTCCTTTCCTTATTGCATTAGCTGGGACATCCAGTGTGACGTTTAGTAGGAGTGGGGGCAGGGAACATTTGTCCCTTGTCTCCAGTCTCAGGGGGAAAGTGTCTGTTTTCTCGCCATTAGGTATGATGCTGGCTGTAAGTTCTTTTGTAGATTTTTGTTTTGATCAAATTGAGCCAGTTCTTCTCTGTTCCTATTTGCTGAGAGTTTTTATCATGCAGTGTGTGTTGGGCGTTGTCAGGTTCTTTTTTTGCATCTATTGCTATGATCATATGATTTTTCTCCTTCAGCTTGCTGACGGGCACTTCTTTTGCTCAACATCATTTTGCTGTTGTTGCTCATAGACGTTTACATATGGGGCAGAAATTGCTGGATCTTAAGTAGGGTGTACGTACATCCTGCTTTAATAGACAAAATGTCAGGCTTTTCAAGGTGGTCCTGACAGTTTACATTAGTTTCTGAAGTTTCTAGTCACTGCACACTTCCCTACTTTCAGTATTACCACTCTGTTTAATTCTAGACACTGATAATGTTAACACCTTGATGTATATCTGAAATTGTATGAATTGTCTGGAAGTCCTGCCCGTCTCCAGCTCACGGCTTGCTTTTTGCTGGATCTAGGTCCCTGCGTTGGTTGATTTGTGTAACCCTCTTGTGCTGTCATATGGGAAATAAGTTACTCTAGAGGGTTTTTTGAGAATCAGATGACATAATACATACAAAAGCATCTTAATAAGTTCTGCTGGTTGCCTTGCTGTGCGGTGTCTGTGTTACCCTGTGGTTTATTATTGTCCGTCTGCACAAGTGTGAGCTGCTTACTCTTTTGAAACCTTTCCTTCTAACTCAGGCCTGTACCGGTGACAGTTCTGCAGGTTTCCAAAGTCCTCCTGAACAGCTCGAATTGAGCTTGTGATGAAACTGGTCAGAACGGTTCCCTTGGGGCACATTTACTGTTTATTGACATTTCTTTCAGTTACTGTTTTTGTGAGTGATGACACCTACTTTTGAACGTGCCGTAAAGCACTTATGTTTGTTTTGCTAGGCAAAAAGGATAAGTTGCGTGTCTACTATTTGTCCTGGTTAAGAAATAAAATACTTCACAACGACCCGGAAGTCGAGAAGAAGCAGGGCTGGACAACCGTGGGGGATTTGGAAGGATGTGTGCACTATAAAGTTGGTAAGTTCCAAGACGATCGTAAGGGTTTTGTTTTTCCAGGATTTAATTAATCGCCCATTTAAAATGTGTTTTAGTCATAAACTTGTTCCTAATACGTGTGGCTCATTTCAGAGGCCCCCTCCTAATCCCGTGTCTCGGTGGGACTTAAAATGCACCTTTGATCGTAACACAGTCCACACCTGCCGTCCTCGGCCAGGCTCCCTGCTCAGCCCACCTGGTGAGATGTGGTTCCAGGGGACCTCTTTCAGGAAAGCCAGCCGGCCTGGAGTCCTCCTCTGTACCCAGGCTTGCTCTCCCTTAGTGGGCTGTGGGTCCCGGCAGCCACTGATGGACGAGTGAGCGTTGGCCCGAGGAGCCGGGCCTTGCTGTGAGTCCGGTGCACGAGCGGAGCTGTGCTCACCACTAGTAAGTGCACCTCGCTGGCTGGCCGGCGTTTCGTTCTCATCAAATGAGATCTCACAAGAACAAAAACCAAAATAAGTTTTTCTGTGTTGGGGAGAAAAATAAAAATACTGGTACTAACATTGGAAATAAAGGGGAAACAATGGAGCTTAGCCAAATTAAAGTTTTATGGCTGAGATGACGTATTCTAGTTGAATTTGATGTGGGAGGCCGAGAAGACGGGCAGGTGGTCTCTCTGCGCCTGAGACTGAGGGACAGGAGGGGTGTCTGGGATGTCGGCTTCTGCTGTGCGTTTTCTTGTTCTGTCTGTGAGAGTGGGTGCCGTGGTCAGCCCCTCCGCCTCCAGGGCTGGGACCGCCCCCGGCGGTGTCTTCCTGTCGTGTAGTTAGTGATGGCGCGCAGGTGCCTCACCTCCATCGGGCCGGTTCCGAGTGGTGCTGTCATGCTCGGTCTAGATTTGGGATTAGGGGCTTCTGTATTGTGTTTATGTGAATTATCAATTTATTTGTTAAGATGTAACTAAAATCACCTAAGACTCAGAGTAATGAGGTGGCTCATAACAGCTGAAGTGTCCGTGAGACGATTATCCTACCGGGAAGTTTGGGGCAGCTGTGTTAGACTCAACCGGGGTTTTCCCCGGGACAGCACGTCTGCCTCACTCAGGCCGGTCATTCCTACAGAATGACTCATAGGCCTTCATTTGTTCTCGTCATACTTTTAGGAAACTGTATTCAGTTTATCAAGTCCTGTGCTGTGCAGTGTGGTTGCCATCAAGAATGGGGAGGGCTGCTATTTAAATTTATATTCAAATTAATTAACAGGAGATAAACTAAAATTTAGCTCCTCAGTGGCACTGGTACATTCCAGGTGCCCAGTAATGCTGTGCAGCTAGAGGCTGTCATATTAATAGGGTTGATATAAAACCTTCCCATGATCACAGAAAATTCTATCAGCACTGGTTTAGACGATCTCTCATAATCTTTTATGTCGTAGCATTCATGGGATTGACTTGAGTAGTGACAATATATGAAGTTTAACAAGGAGAGGTACCAAGTCAGCAGCCATGTCTCTTGGTCGAAGGGAGAATCAAGCCACGCTGTGATTTAGGGAGCGTGCGAAGAAGCCAATGGTCTGATAGTCAGTGAGTCAGGTGTGGCCAGGCCCGGCGGAGGCCTTGGTTTTAAGCAGAGTTGCCACCTGTCAGAGAGCTGACACAGCCGGGTGGAGGGGGCCTTTTCATCTACATAGAAAGTTAAGAGAGATTGTCCTCACTGCTGCTCCCTGGTACAGAGCGTTAGGTGGAGCCCCAGCAACCACTACTCTGTCTTGGTCAGGAGGTGGTTTGAAGAGTAATTGGTCTTGTGCGCAGAATCCATACTCGGCTGATGAGTATTTTGTTATAGCCTTCCGTGTTCTCCGTCTGTAAGCCCCACGGAGGACTCAGGAGAAGCCACACGGGAGATTCAACCTTCCTGTGCCTGAGGAGCAAAGCTCTTGGCTGACTGACCGCATCGTCACCTTTTGAAGTAACACTGAGCCCTTGAGCTTGCAGGGTGGGGTGCCCGGAGCCGTCCTTCCTTGTTATTAAATGCTTTCAGTCCAAGGAGACCGGGAGCAGGAGTGGAAGTGCTCGTTGGCAGTGACAGAGCACTGGTGCCGAGCCCAGCGTGGCGTCCAGGCAGGTGGGAGCGGCCCGAGCTGTGCGTTAGTTACCGAACCGGAAGGGGGGGCTCTTAGGCTTGGTCTCTCCTGCCGTTCCTCTCGTGTCAGTTTGGATGACTCAACAGAAGGTGTATTTATAACGTTCGCAGGAGACAGCAAAAGGAATTTGTGGTTCCACGTTGATACTGACCCGTGCTTCTCTTAATTTTTATTTCAGTAAAATACGAAAGAATCAAGTTTCTGGTAATTGCTCTGAAGAGTTCTGTGGAAGTGTATGCGTGGGCACCCAAGCCATACCACAAATTTATGGCCTTTAAGGTAACGCCATCACATGCTCTGAAAAGTAGCGTCAGCCACGCACACGGTGCCCGAGGGCTGGGAAGAAGTTTAAAAACCCTGAACGGTTAAAACTGATCATTTATTAGTGTATCACTTCATCACGAGAGAGACCACTTCTAATGGAGTAAGTCGACCCGTCTGCTTTCGGGGTCTTGGGGTGTGAGCAGGGGAGCAGATACCTTGCTCCGTGCACCAGCGTGGTAACAGGAGACAGAGTAGCACTACCTCTGTTTAGAAAGCAGACCGTGGCCTTCTACCCGAGGTTTTTGATAGTTATCCAACAATAGGCAGCTTTAAGGTGTCTCTCTCTCTCTCTCTATTCAATGCAGTATTAAGTAAAAATAAAATGACAGAAATTCTTCATGGCCCAAAGAGTATACATTACATCAAATAGGAAAACTATTAAAAATATGTAAATTACCATTTTTGTTTGAAGAAAAATACTAGGTATTATTTTATGTGATTGCTTTTAATATTTCTTTTGTATAATTCTAGCATTTGCACTAGATGCAAATTTATAAAATTGATTAAAAATGATATGACTGTGACATCAGATATTATAAATCACTTAATAACATCGTTTCTGGTATTGGACACAAAATCTTGAGCACTGCCCCCAGGACTGTTTGAGTGCAGAGGGCAAGACGTTAAGACTTCGTTATCCAAAATGATTCTATTTACTTATTTTCAAAAATAGTTTTAACATATTTTATTAAGAGTAGGCTTCAATTGTTTGGAAAATCGGCGTATTTAGATTGCTTATTGCTTGAGTCCCCAGTTAAGCAGGATAAACAAGGTTATCATATTTGCTTAAAAAGTAAAGCCACGTGTTATTGGCCAGAAGTGACTGATTGTAAAGTTAACGGTTCTATTCTGAGACCCGGTCTGAACAGCCCTGATGCACCAGGCACTGCGCTAGCCGCCTTTATAGCTCCTTTATTCAGACCTGCCTTACGAGCTGCAGATGCTGACGTGAGTGAAGAGCTGAGGCCGCCCAGTGTGTTGCAGGCCGTCCAGCACATCATAGCATCTCGTCACCACTTTCACTCCTGTGGGGAAATTGAAGTGGGGGGTGTGAGGGGCTCAGTGTGACTGTGACAGCCACACCAGCACGGTTCTCCATGTGCGTCTCCTGCATCAGCCCCTCTCTCCGTTGCCCGCGTTAGATTAGTTGGGTAGCGTATGGTAGGAAGTCCTGATTGTTTCCCATTAGATGTCTTCCTCACCGGGACAAACAGCAGAGCAGTAAAGGACAGAGCAGAGTTCTTGGGCTCAGTGGGGACTGGGGACATGTACTGGGAAAAAGTACCTTCCAGATGCTGGCTAACAGACAAAAACGAATAAAAGACTTAGGTCATAGAGTAAATCTGCTTATGGCCGTTGGCCGGCTTGGGTCCACAGTGAGCGACTGGGTGCCTTGAGCCCTCGGCGTGCACCCTGCGCCTCTCACCGCTGCCCTCTCACTTCCTCTGTAGTCGTTCGGAGAGCTGGTGCATAAGCCATTGCTGGTGGATCTCACTGTGGAGGAAGGCCAGAGGCTGAAAGTGATCTACGGGTCCTGTGCAGGGTTCCATGCTGTGGATGTGGACTCGGGCTCGGTCTATGACATTTATCTACCAACACACGTAAGAAAGAACCCACACTCTATGGTTGGTTGACTGGCTTCATTTTGTTTTGACTTTTCCCTTTACTCTGCTTAGTGAACTAACACGAGCAGGGACTCCTTGCTTACCCTGTGGTGTGGGGGTGAGTATGTAGGTGCCGTGCCACGTCCACCCGCTCTGTGCTCGGAGACGCGTGGAGAGCCGCTCTCCTGCTCTGAAGGCCTCCTGCGGACATCTGAGCCCGGCTTGACTAACATGGGTTGGCTGGGGGCAGCTGCTGGCAGGTCAGGACATCTAGGGGTTGGGAGCGGTTTGAGGAACATAGTTCCTTAAATGGAGTCCACAATCCAGATGCGTTCCAGGGGCCTCAGAAAACGTGGACGAGCAGAGTATATGACCTGTAAAAGCTGTATATGCATCGCATGGCTTTTCCAAAATGGTACCCTGTGGCTGTACTGTCCCCAGGACTGTGACCTGCGCCTTCCCTGGGGCAGTCATATTGAGCACTCCTGCCGGGACAGAAACAGCCACAAACATGCTCCTCTGTGCTCTGTCCCCTCCTCCAGATCCAGTGCAGCATCAAACCCCACGCGATCATCATCCTCCCCAACACGGACGGCATGGAGCTCCTGGTGTGCTACGAGGACGAGGGGGTGTACGTGAACACCTATGGGAGGATCACCAAGGACGTGGTCCTGCAGTGGGGCGAGATGCCCACGTCCGTGGGTACGTCGCCCTCGGGGGAGAAGGCAGCGTCTGTAAAAGTGGAGCCTTCCCTGAAAATGCATATATTTTTGATGCTGATTTTATGTGTTGTTCAGACCTTTGGGCCAGTTAACAGAGCAGTTGGCAGTAGATGGTGGAAGGTTAGACTGTAGACCATGAGACATGTGGTGGTCTTATGCTAGAACACAATCTAAGTGATTATTTTTAAAAACTCTGTCATACTCAATCCTTCATTGAACCCTTTAGAGCCATCCTGGGAAAGTGGGACAGAGGCAGTGGATGACTGAGCTGTGGGAGGGGAGGGAAGCGGAGAGACCAGTGAGTCTTGTGCTCTGGCGGCCAAGCCACGGTGGACACAGCCTTCTGACCTTCCCATCCCCTCGGGAGTGGAGGCTGACGTCCAGAGCTCTCCTGGCTCCGAGTTTACGTCCCCAGACCAGTCTGGTTTATCGCGGTCATGTCACTGGCTCTGTCCACCTGCCTTTCCTGAGATCCCTGCCTCCTCGTGACTGGTGTGATGAGAACTCTCGAGCTGAACTGTAGGTGGGAGGTGCTGCTCAGGATAAAATGCCTCAGGGGGCCTCACAGACTCGATTCAGAACACACCCCCAGGGGGGACCACCAGGCCACACAGGCAGAGCTCCTGAAAAGCAGAAGTCCCCACATGCTAGCCATGTGGGGGAGGGGGTGGGGGAGTGAGTGTGTGTGTATGTGTGTGACAGAATGTGTGTGCGTGAGCGTGAGTGTGTGTGTGATGTAAGCAGCTTGTCCACGGCTGTTTCCTTGGCTTTCTCAATATGTGTTTTCCCCTCTCAAAAAGCATACATTCGATCCAACCAGACAATGGGCTGGGGAGAAAAGGCCATAGAGATCCGGTCTGTGGAAACTGGCCACTTGGACGGCGTGTTCATGCATAAAAGGGCTCAGAGGCTGAAGTTCTTGTGTGAGCGCAATGACAAGGTAACGCCCTCCTTACACACACGCCTTCGGTGGCTGGTTTACTTCCCATGGAGTGTGGTGAAGCCTTTCCTTGGGGTTTTGATAAGATTAGAATAAACTGATCAAGGAACTTTTTAGTAGTGATCAGTTTAGACCTGTTTATGGAGGTTGGGATATATTTTATTTTGTTTTTGCCGTGAGGGGATGGAGATGTTTAACTCTGCAGAAGCCATCCTATGTTGAGTTTTTGCTTGGGGAGTTTTTTTTTGGGGTTTTTTGGTTTGTATTTTGGTGGGGTTTCTTTTTTTGTTTGCTTGGGTTTTGGGGGGGTTTGTTTTGTTTTGGTTTTTTTATTTTTATTTTTTTTCCCCATTAGGTGTCCTATCTGGGCTGCATTTGGTTTAGGGGTAGAGAAGGTTAAAGCTACCGATTTATGGATGTAATTCTTCTGTGATCAGAAGGAACCCTCATGCAGATCTGGGTAGCAGGGTGAAAGCTTCCTCTCCCCTGAAGTGTATGTCAAATCCTCCATGCGTTAGTCTGCCTTCTGAGCAAGCAAACAATTCCCTAGTCTGCGTGGCATCAACGCCTAACATTATAAATCATTTCTGTGCAGCAGCAAGAGCGCTTCTGCAGGTGGGGCCCGAGGGCATCGAAACCCCGGTTAACACCTTCGTTTTCCCATCCTGACCATATCCTTGTCCTCCCCGGGACCTGCTCCCTCCCGCCCACAGCCAGTTCTGGAGTGGAGTGGACAGCTGGCTGGGATGCTGACACCCTGGGTCTGTTTTGAGAAGGTGGAGCCAGTCTTTTCTAAGCCCAAGTTTCTCTCTCTTCTGTCACTTGGATAAAAATGTATCTGACCACCTGGGGCAGCACACTGCAGCCTTAGAAGCATCCCTCTTAAGAAGATTTCCACCTTTTGCTTCACGTTAATATATTCAACATCTAGCAGCCTGACCTCAGGCTGACCTGTCAGGTTAAGGTAAAACCCTGGACCCTGGCAGCCGGGCCTCCTGCCCAGAAGCTGCGTTGCCCCCAGCCCCCTGCCGTCCTGTAGCCCATCTGCCAGTGCAGTTGACCTACGTATCTCTCCCAGACCTCTTACCTTGAAAATCCATAGCACCTCAGACCTAACCCAGGATTTTGCCAGCTTTTTGGCTTATATTTTCCCAAGTATGTTCAGTGGAGCCATAACTATAATATTCTTTGAATTTGAGGCATTTGAATGTTTTTATTGTCCACGATGTCATGTCCATCAAGCTTTACTAATAAAAGGCACAGAAGTAAATCATCTGACTTTGACTGTACAGTCGTGTGAAATAACTCATACATCTTAGCTAAAGTTTTTAAAAGAGAAAAGTGAGATGGCTGAGAAGCCTCCCTCCCCACTGCTGAGTTTTCCAGACATGCTCATCTTCCGGAAGGTGTCAGCATTGGAGGCAGAACCAGATGAGCCAGTTTCAGAAGTGTGACCCTTTTCTCTTGCGCTCTCACCATAAGGTGCAGCGTTTGAGGGCGTCTGGCTGACTAGCCGGCCCAGCTGAGGCAGACTGGCCCTGGCGATGGCTCCTTGCAGACCAGAGGGCCTCCTCCCGGGTGCTCTTGGGGGTAGGAGGGGTCGTTTCTGGCTCGTGGAGCTGGCAGGTCTTCCAGGCTGCTGACGCCTCCTCTCCCCCCGCAGGTGTTCTTCGCCTCCGTCCGGTCCGGGGGCAGCAGCCAGGTTTACTTCATGACGCTGGGCAGGACCTCTCTTCTGAGCTGGTAGCAGCGGGGCGAGGAGGGCTGCACCGGAGTCTTTGAGATGGAGAACTTGGAATTCCTTGCAACTGGAGCTCGGAGCTGCCCGGCTGCCCGGGACGGCGTGTGCACGGACCCCGCCTGGGGGTCTCCCGCCCGCCCACTCGCTCTTACCAGTTTCTCCCTGTTCTCTTCTTTTCCTTTTCAAAATAAATCAAGGCTGCAATGCAGCTGGTGCTGTTGAGACTCACCGTTAGGTGCTATCAGTGTTGGGATCGAGCATCAGACAGAACGCAAACGCCTTTCCTTCAGCTCCAGAATTCCTTGTCTCGGTGACTCTGTCTTGGGTGATGCAGGTGGAGACGTGAACATGCCGGTGGGAGGTTGGCAGGGGGCACAGGAGGTGTTAGGGTGCTCTGACGAGCAGTCTGCGGAAGCCGCGAGCAGATCTAATATAGTAACAGTAACAATGTATTTAATTGACATTTCTTTTTTGTAATGTGACGATATGTGGACAGAGAAGAGGGTGCAGGTTAAAGAAGTTACTATTTATAAAATGTGAAAGACACAGTTACTAGGAGGACTTTTTTGTGGGTGGGGCTTGGGAGGCGGGGTGGGCGGGTTAGGGTCCCATTTTCTCGGGAATTTTTTTTTTGGCCAAGAACTGAGTTTTTCTGTGTACCAAGTTTTGCCTAAATCGTGCAGATGATTCTTTTAAAAAAACAAAAAAAAAAGGAAAAAGAAAGGGTGTGCATTTGTGTCATGGCCAGAACCTTGTTGTGTGACAGTATTAGCACTGCCTCAGTCAAAGGTTTAATTTCTGTTTAAACCTAGAAGTGTAGCAGCAGTTTCACCACAGTCTGCACTTGCGGAGGGAAAAAATTTTTTCAACCACTTTTTTTTTTTTTTGCCTACCTCATTGTTTTTAATGCAGTAAGAGGTGGTTTTGTTTTTACGTTTTGGGAGGAAAACGTTAATTTAATCTTAATACCAAAACTATCTAATTGAAGTTGGACTGTTAATCTCGTCCCAGGTCTCAGTAGGCACCAGAGACATTGTCCCTGAAGATGGGAAACAGCCCTCAGGCTTGTCGTGCTGCGGCGGGCGTCTGCTTTCCGAGTTGAGAGCAGGTGCTCGGTTCCCGCCGGGCTCACCTGCAGTGGTTGCCGGGCGGCCCGGCCCCCAGCACGGGGGCCTGACTGTTCCCAGCCCGGGGCTTGCAGACAGGTGGTCACGTGGGGCAGCCCCGCAAGCTGTCACCAGTGTTGCAGGAACCTTTCCTTGGGGCGGGGAGATCCCCTTTTCTAAAAAACGCAATGCACTAAAACTATTTTAAGAATGTAGTTAATACTGCTCATTCGTGAGGTAGCATCTCCCTGTGTTTGGGTGTGACATCGGAGCCCTGGCTTTCCTCGTTCTCTCCCTTGCTTTCTTGTTCTCTCTCTGTTTTTTAAACCAGTTTTACTTTTTGAGTATGTTCATGACATTTGTAATAAATGTCTTGGGAAATAATTGGCTTCATGGCTCCTGGTCCATCTGTTTCCTCTGAGGGCGTCCATCTCAGTGGAGGAGCCGGGCTCTGCCGTCCGCCTTTCCTCGCGGTGAGTTCCGGTGGAAATGTTGTTTGCCGAACAAGAGTGTGGGGTTTCCTAGGCATAATCCTCCTCCGTGGCAGGTTTTCTTCTATAACATGAAAGTGGAGGTTGCCTCCCCCCAGAAATGCAACAGTCCCTTGCACCTGTTGGCTGTGGCTTGGCCCAGTGCTCTCGGCCCATTTTGACCCATCTTTCTCGTCCTCCTGGGTCAGCATTTTTGCCAAAGGCTCTCCTTGCAGTCACAGAAACTAGTGCCAAGTACATCCACTCACGGCTGCAGAAGCAGCAGCGGGTTGCTCGGCCCCCCCCCCCCCCCGGGGGGGGGGACGGGCCCGCTGAGAAAGCCCTCCTCCGTTTTGGAAGGACAAGGCGGTGGAAATGGTTTTCCTGTCTGTGTAACTTTGGAAGTGGCACGGATGTCCCAAGCAGAAAGAGCTAGTTCTTTTCTACTCATTTGTACTTAACGTAGAGAAGGTTGGGGAGTTCATTGCACCCTCGGCAGGGACTTCTGAGATAGGCCAGACTCTTTGTAAAAATACTCAACTTCTGATACCAACGTGGCAGAACTGGAAAGGGTGAGGTCTGAACTGTCCGTGGACTTGAAGCTCGGTGTCTGCCCGTCAGGCTGTGACACAGACCAGGCGAGTGGTGCTCGGCTGGAGGTTCTGGGTCCTCGGGGTGGCCGCCCTTCCAGGTCAAAGCCGTCCTTCCTGGCGCTGTGTTGGCAGTGGGGTTGAACGTAATGGAACCCGTCACTCGGCTCCCCTGCCTGAGGTCAGATGGCTCGTCCTGCTGGGGTGGCTTCCTGGGCCGCAGTGTCCCCCTCGGCCCCACAGCCCGGGAAGCCCGATTGCGTTGCTCTGGCTGGAAGCCGGCACGCAGTTAGGTTTCCCCACGGAGGGCTGTGAGCTGTTGCGGTTTCATTTTTCTAGAGAAAGGGATGGTTGGTTTTTTTTTCCCCCTCTAACAGGGTAGTGACTTCACAGAAGTGCCAGGATGGCAAAATTACAAAAGAAAAGTATTATGATGACATCATTAAATACGGAGCATTGAAGGCCATTCCAGCAGTGCCCTTCAAAGCAGAACCCCAGGGCACCCCTGGGTTCAGTCAGAGCTTTGGTAATTGGTATCTTTCTGTATTTAAGTCAGAGTCTCTCTGTATCGAGTGCAGCGTTTTTGCTTTTTCTCACGCACATGTTACGTCAAAGAAAATGTTTACAAAAAATGGTTGTTACACTAACGTGCATTACCTATTTATGGTTTATTTTTAAGTGACTTTTTATGGGTCATTTAGGTTGTTGTCTTAGTGGTAGTCCACTTACGGTCATTGATAATCCCTAATTTTGCCAGTTACGAATTTGCTGAACAGTCATGCAGATGACAAGCCGCACTGAGCTCACTAACCAGGGCTGCAGGGCAGACTGGCGGCAAGAAGCCCCGTAGCCGCCTCTCCCCAGCGCTCCCTTGCCCTCTGTGTGTTGTGAAAATTACTGTTGTCCCTCTTCTCCCCATGTCTCTCCTTAAATAAAGTAAAAATGACACCTATTTTATGTGGCATGAGTTTCAAATATATTCCGTTCCTTCAGAATGTCTCCTTCCTATGAGGGCCCGCCCTCCGCGGAGCCGGCCCTCGCCCTCGGCTCCCAGCTCCCGGCCCCTCCCTAAGTTCCCCTCCTGGAAGCATTTAGGACTTTTCCCCCTTATCTTTGGTATTCTGAATACTCGTGTGTTTTCTTTCATTTATGCCCCCCCCCCATTATCCCTTTAGTGGTCTCTTTCAAACTGAAGTCTGGTGACTTTATTTGACTCTGGGACTTTTTTTTTCTTTCTGTATTTTCACCCACTTCACTCTGACCTCACAGGAATGTCTGTTAGTTGGATGTTCTACCTAGTAGACTGACTCTGTCCCATTTTTTTCTTTTTCTTTTTTAAAGTTTTTGGCATTGTCTTTCTGCTTGCTTGCTGATTTTTCTTGACAATGGCTTTCAGCCTGGTTTCTTTTTTTTCATGTTTGCGATCCTATATTATTATTTTCAAGTGCATGTTGGGGCATCAGGTAATGATAGAACAGCGTGTTCCAGACCCCTGAGAACAACTAAGATGCTATAAAAATTACGCGTCAAATCAGTTTGAAAGCACTGGAGAGTTGTTAATGCAGGCAGGGCTTAAGGGGCCACGATGCTGTAGAGAAGGGATTGCATGCAGGTGAGCCCGCGTCCTTCAGTGCTGCTTCCCTCAGGATTTGCTAATTTAAAAGCTAAGAGGCTGGGAAATTGAGTTGAACTTTCAGCAATCTCAGAGTAACGGGAGAGGCAAAATGTAGATGTCAGGGTAGCCAGGACTTAAGAATCTAAAATCCCAGTGGAAAAAGCTGCATGGAGATGAAGTCAACATCGTGTTCCACTTTCCCCTTCAGACATTTGCTGATTCACAAGCAGTGTGGGTGCAAGAAGCTAAAACCCTGAGGCACTAAGCAGAGTTTCTGGCAGTCTCTGGAGAGGCAAAAATTTCAGTTAATGGCCCACAGAATAGGAGAGAGCCTGGCAAACACTCCTACTGGTACCACGGGCAGGCTACACTCGGATGAAGAGCAAACCAGAAGAAGACCAGCCTTCCCAAAAGACTGAAACCTGACCTGGAATCATTCCGTCCCAGACGGGGTCAGGTGGTGTGTCCCAACTCCACCTGTCTGCCAGAAAGCAAGATACATCCTCTGTGGAAGAAGGTACCATTAGTGAACCTCAGAGCTTGCCTACAAGTTTTTACATGATGTCCAGCGTGCAGTAAAAAATTACCAGGCATTCCAAGAAATAGCAAAAAGTTAACCAAACCAGGGGAAAAATCTATTACAGAAAGAACAGATGATGCAGATATTGGGGTTACTTGGGGTCATTTAATTACTGTGTTCAATAAAATAGATGAAAAGATTGAAAATGTCTACAGAGAACTAGAATCAATAGAATAGAATCAAATAAAAACTCAATAGCAGAAACCACTTAAAAACTCCGTGGATGTGAATAGACAACCTACAGAATGTGAGAAAGTATTTGCAAATCATCTATCCAATAAGGGACTAATATCCAGAATATAAAAAGAACTTCTATAACTTAACAATTTTTGATTAAAACAAAAAAAAAAACCTCAATTAAAAAGTGGGCTTGGGGAGGGTATAGCTTAAGTGGTAGGGTGCATATTTAGCATGCACAAGGTCCTGGGTACAATCCCCAGCACCTCCTCTAAAAGTAAATAGACCTAATTACCCCCCCCCCCAATTTTTTTTTAATGGGCTAAAACTTGAAGATACTTCTCCAAAGAATATACACAAATGGCCAATAAGCACATCACTATTCATCAGGGAAATGCAAGTCAAACATCAATGAGATATCACTACACACCCATTAAGATGGCGATTAATTAAAAAACCAAAAAACAAACAAAATGACAAGTGTTGCAGAGATGTAGGGGAACTGGAACCCTGTGCACTGTTGAGAATATAAAATGATGCAATGCCTATGGAAAATAGTATGACAGTTCCTCCCCAAAATTAAAACTTGAATTACCATATGATTCAGCAATTCCACTCCTGAGTATACACCCAAAAAAATTGAAAGCAAGTTTTCAGAGATGTTTATATACCCATGTTAATAGCAACAAAATGTGGAAGCAACCCAGTATCCATTGATCAATGAATTGGTAGGTAAGTGTGTGTGTGCGTGTGCTCGCTTTCAGTGGAATATTACACAGCCTTGAAAAGGAGAAATTCTGACACATGCTACATCGGTGAATCTTAACGACATTGTGCTCAGTGAAATAAGCCAGTCACAATACGACATATACTGTATGATTTTACTGATGTGAGGTATCTAGCTGAGTTAAGTTCAGAGTTATGGAGATTGACCACACAACAACGTGAATGTGCTTTACTGAACTGTACACTTAAAAATGGTTAACGTGGTAAATTTTATTTTTTAAAATACAATACTTTAAATAAACTTAAAAACCTCCACAGATGAGTTTACCAGCAGGTTAGGTACAGCCAAGTACACGATTAGTGATTTGGAAAGTAGGTTGATAGGAAATGTCCAGAATGAATCAGAGAGAAAAAGCATGGGAAATACAGAAAAGAGCGTAACAGACACACGAAATGTGGTGTGAAAGTCTAACGTAGAGACTGGAGTCCCAGAAGAAGAGAAAAGTAAAATTGTGGCATAAGCAACATTTGAAGAGATTGCAGGCAATATTTCCAAATTGCTAAAAGGCATTCAGTGGTGAACTGAAAGCTCTGTAACCCTCAAACAGGAAGAAAAACACACCTAGGTATATGATTATAAACCTGCTGAAAACCAGACAAAAAAGAAATCTTAAAAGCAGCCAGAAAGTAAATTACATACAGTCCATTCTCATTATCTTCAGTTTCCGTATCTGTGAGATTGCCTACTGCTAAAATTCATTGTAACCTTAAAAATGAATCCTCATGGTGCTTTCACAGACACGCACAGAACAGCGGGGGAAAAAAAGACAAGTTGCCCCAACACTCCGTGAATCTCTTGCAACCACTGATCTTTTTATTGTCACTACAAGTACTGCCTTTTCCAGAATCTTACAGAGTTGGAATCACGGAGTAAGTACCCTTTTAAGCCTGACTTCTTTCACTTAGCAAGGTAAGATTCCTCCATGTCTTTTGTGGCTTGATGACTTTTTTTTTTTGCTTGAAAATTTTCCATTGTATGGACATAACTGCAGTCTCTTTATCCATTCACCTATTGAATGACATTTGGGTTCCAAAATTGCTTCCAATTTTTGGCAATTACAAATAAAGTTGCTATAAACATTTGTGAGCAGGTTACACCAGGTGAAAAGAAAGTCATCTCAAAAGATTATATACTGTTTGATTTCACTTATCTAACACGACAGAACTGTAGAAATGGAGGGAAGTGTAGTTCCCGCTGTTGAGGGAGGTGGGAGGTGGGCACACGGGACTACAGAGGGACAGCTCGAGGGACATTTTTGTGGTGACAGCACAGTGCTCGTGTCTTGATTGTGGTGGTGATTACATGAATCTGCTCATGTGATGAAATTCCTAGAACTACAAAAACACATAAATGCATGTAAAACTGTGAAATCTAAGTAGATTCTGTGGAATCCCCAGTCTCGACCTTGTATTCTATGTAGGCAGGTGTTAACCGTTGGAAAAAACTGACGTGAAGGTACCTGGAACCTCTTCTACTATTTTCATAACTTTTTATGAAAGTACTACACTTAGTACTACAATTATTTCAAAGTAAAATGGTTTTAAAGATCAATTATATTTCTATTCAGCAAAAATTCCAAACTAAGAGAAAGCTTTAATATACTATGTACAATAGCTTAAAAAAATGAAAGTCCTGAAAGTAACTCTAATGAAAAAACATGCAAGTCCTCCACACAGAGAACTTTTTAAAGAATTTTAGTAAACTACACAAATGAAGTAATAAGCTATGTATATCAATCAAAGAATGAAAAAGATGTCAGTTCATCCCAGATTAATCTATATGGATTTAATACAGTCTCAAAGTCCCAGCAGATTTTTTCTTTTTTTGGTGTGGAAGTAACAAAATGACTCTAAAACATAATTGACATACAAGTGGCAGATATGTCCAAGGTGATGATGGAAGGAGAAAAGCTGGAGCATTTTCCACTCCTGATGTCAAGACTTATTACAGAGTGACACACTGTGGTATTGATGCAAGAAGAATCGGCAAATAAACTGAAGTAAAAGTTCTGAAATAAACTGGACACTTACATTTACTACAGTCCAGAGTAGGTGGGAAAGAGAGTTCATCTCAGTGAACAGAACTTGGACATTTTTACATCCGCATGTGGAAATAGACACTCATGCTTCCCTTACCCAGCACACAAAGTCAGCTCTAGGTTTTGTAGAGCAATTCTAGACCGTCGCTCTGCCTGTGGAAGGTAAAACTAACGCTTCTACAGAGTGATGTGGGAGAACTCCTGAGCATGGGGCAAGTGGAGGATTCTCCCACTAGATACAGAAAGTATTCTGTATTGTTTCCTTGGGTTCTGTATGGATCTTTATCCCTTTTTCACAGCACCTTCTTGTTTTAAGGGTGCATACTTCTCCATGGTGATATAAATGAGAATCTTTGAAAACCTCGATTTTCCAAATTCACTGTTTTTACTTGTTTACTTTTTCACATTCCTGGTGTTTACACGTGTCTGATGATTCTAAGTTTTCCTAGGACTCGATTGCTTTTAGGTGACTGATGTAAGTTTCCTCTGCTGTTGTGTAAGGAGGTCTGCTTCCTCTTTAGGTCCGGATGGGAAGGTGATGGGGAGGTCTGGGCATATGGCTAGATGGACAGCTCTTCGGCTGAGAATCTCAGAAACTCTAGGATTTCTAAACCACTAGCCCATCCCCACCCAACCAGGTCCATTTCTCTAAAGAAAAGCTTCCTGGCTTCTTTGCCTGGTGCTAAACACCGGACTGCCCGCTCTGGGAACCTCACCATCTCTGGGTCTGAAGCCCCCTGAGTTTCTGCAGAAAG